ATTTTTTATAAAAACATATTTCCAGCGAGGAATAATGATTCATTCTCCAACGCTCAAAATAGTACTTCCATCTGCTGGTAATTTCTTCACGTTATCTCATTCAATTGTTTCAAATGCTTTGTTTCCTAATGTTTTATCTACAAAGTTTGATCCTACATATCCTGCCTGATATGAGACGATCTTCTGATTATATTCACGCACAATCTTCCGTCAATCTGCTTCCTACACTATCTTTAGAGCCTACAACTTTACCAATATCATCATCTTTTGTTGCTAAGTACCTATCTTCTAATTTTCGTAACCAATGTAAACTTGTACTGTCTTCTGCACCAACACCTCATCTGGTGTTACGCGATCCAAAATTAGTCATTCCAAGCCTAAAAATTTTCCAGATTACAAGGTGTTATATACCACACATCATCCTCTCAAGAAGTTTTTCAGTCTTTTTAATGAGCAGGAACCTTCCTTTTATATATAGTGCAGCCATTTCTCAACCAACCTGGATAGTATAAAGGAGTAAAGAATTTGACGCTACGATATCTAATGGTAAATGGACTCTTTGTCCTAGACCTTTAGACAAACACATTATCATAGACAAATGAGTGTTTAAAATTAAGAGAACTCCGGATGGAAAAGTTGGTCGTTACAAAGCACGGTTGGTGGCCAGAGGTTTTGATCAAGAGTATGGTTTAGACTATCATGAAACCTTCTCCCTCGTTATCAAACCATCTATAATTTGTATTGTTCTCTCATTAGTTGTCAATTTTAATTGGTAAATAAAACAATTAGATGTTTCTAATGCATTTTTGCATGGCTTCTTGGATGAAGAAGTATTCATGGAACAACCACATGGTTATGTTGATGCCTTTAAACCATATTATGTATGCAGACTCTATAAGTCATTGCGTGGCTTCAAACCAGCACTCAGGGCTTGGTTTCAGACAATCACAGCATCTACTTGATGCTGGTTTTACAAAATCTACTGTTTATTACAGTCTATTCACCTTACAGACTCCTACCTTCAAACTATTTGTTTAAATCTATGTTGATGACATCATTGTCATGGGCGAGCACAACAATTATTGATGAATTCATCTCCAACTTGAGTTGCTCTTGTAGTATCAGAGATCTTGGCAAACTTTCATACTTTCTGGGCATTCAAGCTGCACAAAGTCATATTAGACTACATCTTCCCCGGTCTAAATACATTTTTGATTTACTTGAAAACACAAGAATGATTAAACACAAGAATGATTGGTGCTCTTCTTCTAGCTTCTTCTACTATCGCTTTGGTTATAAAAGGGCATTGCTAACAGATGCCACTAAATACAGACGAGTAGTGGATGCCTTACAATATTGCACTCTTACCTGTCTAGACATCAGTAATGCTGTTAATCAATTATGTCAGTTCATGCATAGCCCTCGTGAGCCTCATTGGATTGCTTCCAAATGAGTTCTCTGTTACTTGAAAGGTTCCATTGACTATGGCTTACTTTACACTCCATCTTTCATTGCTTTAAATGCCTTTTATGACTCTGGCTAGGCAGGAAACCTGGATGATCACAAATCCACTAGTGATTATGGTGTTTTCATTGGTCAAAATCTCATCTCATGGAGTGAAAAGAAGCAGTCTGCGGTATTCAAATCTAGCACTGAGCATGATATCGTTCTATGGCCTTAGAAACAGCATAATTGTACTGGATTATAATGTTGTTTCGTGAACTTGGTATTTTAATACCTTCTCCTTCCATTCTATGGTGTGACAATGTTGGTGCAATTGCCCTTGCTTCAGATCCAATCTTTCATGCACCCATTAATCATGTTGAAACTGATTACCATTTCATCCGAGAAAAAGTCATCAACAAGGACATTTCAGCTTGTCATATTTCAGCAAAAAACCAGTTATATGATGCTTTCACCCAGGAATAAACCGCACTATGTTTTCCTTTCTTGAGGTCCAAATTAAAGGTGTTCAATCCCCTTATTAATTTGCAAGGGGGTATTAGTGATCCTGTTAGGATTCTAGTTACTCAACCTTCACCACAAGTTATTTCTTCTCCTACAAATACTTAATATTAGCTCAGTTGTATAAATCCTTTCCGACAACATTTTGACAACTTTCAAGTGATGTATTAAATTTCTTATCTAGTTACCTTGTATCTATATATTGTAGTCAGTATAAGTGCACGATGAAGTTGGCAAAACCTTCTTCTCTTTGTCAGGTAACCTAATCCAGAGAAGGCATAAGTGACCACTGAAAAAGATCAGACAAAAGATTAGGTTAATCCATTTAACAAGCATTAATTTATTTGGGTGTTGTTTTTAAAAAAAAATAGCAGTAATTTATCTGGGTACACATACAAGCATTAATTTATCTGGGTGTTGTTTTTAAAAAATAAAAATAGCAGTAATTTATCTGGGTACACATCAGTTTCCCATGGTGGGTGTCAAGGGTGATAATTTGTTGCTTTGAAATTTTATTGGATGAGTCCAAATCCTTGGTGATGAATATCTCTGTTGATCAAGTAGCATCCTCTATTGGCCACAGTGGCTGGACAGAGCAAGCCCAGAAGAGGGCACCAGCGTGCGATTTTGCTCCCACTTGCCAAAAATGTTCCTGCGGCAAGCAAATTAGGGGAGGAAATATATTGAAGTGGGAGGATTCAAGTAGTGACCGGACCCACCTACCAGGATGCCCGATCATTGTTTGCCGCACGTTACAAAATCCTCGTCGATGAGACCACCTCGAGCTCTATCTTTATCTATATATCTTAATGTCTCCGTTTTTCTTTTCTTTTTCTTTAACTCTTTCGAACCCTTCGGCTTTCGAATTTTGCTCCTTTAGGTTTCTGTCGTCCCCCCAAATTATATTTCATCTTCCAGACTCCTACTCCTCCTACTGTCCTTTTTATTTGATCACGCAAAGCCATTATTCAAATATATTTTTTATTTATATTAAAAAATAAAATAAATTTTATATTAAAAATTTATTTAAAAATTTAAATTATTAAATTAAAATAATTTATCTATAATATCATAATTTTAATAACTAAACCGTGAAAATTTTAAATTTTATTATTTTTATCTATAATATATTTTTTATATAAATAGTTGCGCCGCACCGTCCGAGTGCTGTTCAACTGCTTGCTTCGTGTCCCAGGCGAAACGAATCACATGTAAGGCCTCACGTCTCTCTTGAAGCACGCCACCATATCCACCGCTAAATGAAAGGGACATTTGCAGTGCAGATTATGGATCCAATGACATGACATGATATATAATATAAGCTTAGCCCGATTCAAGACTGCCTTGCCTGACTCACTGCTTTTCTTATTCATTAAAAAACAAAAAGAATTGCACGGCAAATAATACAACTGAGGAGCGTATTGGTTAAACAAAGACCTTCGAGGACTCCTTTTTCAATTTCTTTAATGAATGGTGACATGAAAAGGACTCCCATTTCAGTCTTAAGCGTAGAGAATGATTAGCGTATTGATCAAACTGAAATTTAAATAATTAGTGTTTAATTACAAGGACGCACTTAATCAACCCTTTAATAACCGCTTGCTTCTTCTCCTTTTTTTAAAAATAAAAATAAAAATAAAAATAAAAATAAAAAGCAAAAAACATGTTCCAAACACCCCAACAAGACCCACTTATCTAATATACTACTCTTTAGAAATAAGGTGATGGTGGTCTTAAACTTAAGGCTATGTTGCGGAAAAATAAATTGCTTTTTGAGAAATAAATTTATAAAGTTGTTTTTTATACTTGATTATATTATAAAAATAAGTTATAAAATCCATCTAAAATAATAGATGTGCCACTATGTTATTTGCTTACAATAAGATTAATATGACCTAACATACATTAGCTAACAATAAATATAGCATAAATTATTGCATAAATCTTGAAGGTTTTTTTTTCTTATTTATAAAATATCTATGGCTTTGAGACTCACCTTTAAAAGGGATAATTTGTATACTTTTGAGAATAATTTGTGCATTTTTTATTATGAGAATAAATTGTGTACTTGATTAAGAACATTATAATTATTTAAAACAGCCAAAAATTTAGAGAACAACAAGCATTTTCTAATATTAGAATCTTGCTTCAATAATAATAATAATAATAATAATAAAGAAAAAAAGTGAAGGTGCTCATGTTAGAAGAAAACGGTACGTGCATCCGATACATGACAGGTTGATCTTGCACATCACAGTAACTTGATTCCATCAAACCGTACCAAATACATAGTGGACCTAGATTCCGTTACGCCAAATCTTCCGACATGAATTTTAAATAAACCTGAATCGGTTCAACAACTATAAATATATTTTCAATATAATCCCCTAACTAGTAAATTTATCAATCGGACCCATCGCAGATATTTCCTTAATTGGACCCTACCACTAAGCGATGTCAGCTTATGCAGCTGAAATACATGCACATAGAAAATGCTAGTATCACACCCCTCTATACCCACTTTCATGATTATTTAGATTTTTTATTCGATATGACTATGAAAGATTATAAGAATATGCTTTTTTCGACAGAGATAGAGTACAAAACCTTAACAATTACCTCCACTAATTAAAGATTTAAGAGGCTGTTAATTTTTGTGTTTCAAAATATTTAAAAAAAAATTCAATTTTTTAATTTTTTTCTTTACTTCAAATTATTTTTATATATTTTTTAAATTAATAAATTCTTTAAAAAACAATCATTATCACAATTAAAAAAATAAGTAAATCCATTATAATGCTGTAGATAAAAGATGCTTGATAACGTTTAAGGGGTTCGGTAGTGGCTAATGATAACGTTTAACGACATATATAAGCTGGTAACGGCAGGACCCCGTCAATAGATGGGAGATACCATCGATAAGATCAGTAGTTGGGGGACTAGAATGAGAATCTATTAATGGTTGGAGTGCTAATTTAAATTTTTCCCTTTTATTCGAGTCGCGTAGCGCCACTTAATTATCATAAAACGAAAATAATAAATCTCCTTGCAAATTCTCTGCACACCCACTTCACGTCCCTTGTCTCTGTAGTAGCTTTGCAGTTTGTCTGAGGTCCAAACCACAAGTTCTGTACGAACAAAAGCACACCAGTGTTTCGTCTCTGTGAGCTTAAAAGGACAACCTTCTGTCTTATTATTACATCCTCTGATAATGATAATCAACATAAATAAGTCTCCTACCTCTGTAATTGCTGGCTTTATTTCTTTTCTTGCAAATTATTGATTTTGGTGACGTTAATGAGTTGCAGCTGTTGTTGTCACCTAATCCAAGAATACCCACTTCATCGAATCCTTTGAATTTATGTCGAACTCCTTAAAAACCATCCAAAAAGTTGCCAAATTTATACTCCATCTTTTGACTGTTTCTGTGTCTCAATCTTTAAAATGTCAGTTCATGAAATGTCCCACCTGGATTTAGAGCAAGGGACACACCAGCGCTCCGTTGCTGGAAGTGATATCAGTTCTTTTTCTGATGCAGAAAATGGGTCTTGCTACTCTCAGTTCTATTCAACCACTGCTGGGTCTTATGATGATTACAGTTTTGCCTGTGTCTCTGAACTTGAGGGCATAGACGGTGTGGTTTTGGATTCTAGGAGGGTGTCTTCAGTGTCTGATTGTTCAGTGGAGGTGGAGATTGAGAATAAGGTACCTGAAATAAAGGTGCATTTGAGTAAAGTGGAGAGAGATTGTAGGATTTGCCATCTGGGTTTGGAGAGTAACAGTCATGAATCGGGCGTTCCTATTGAATTGGGTTGCTCTTGTAAGAATGATTTAGCTGCTGCTCATAAACAGTGTGCAGAAGCTTGGTTCAGGATTAGGGGAAACAAGTAAGTACAAGGTTGAATTCTGGTTTTTGTTTTATATGGTTAATTATACTTTGCCGTTTTGTTTTGTTTTGTTTTTTGAATATTTATTCGCGGTGTTGGTACGATGGCTAAAATTTTGGATTATGTTTAATTTTCTTTGTTTGTGAGAAATGGTAAATATCGACTTTGTGCTTCTTAGTAGTATTATCAAAGTTGCCTGATGAGTTCTGTAAAGTGTAAATGATGCACTAAAGCGGGATTTCGTGAAGGGATAATAGTAACTATTTTTCACCAAAGAGGACAAGGGGTTCAGTGGTTGAGGATTTTGGATATTAGATTGCTGCCTGCTTAGTTTATGGGATACGAAGCATAATGTGGAAGTTAAGAATTATGATGAATGAAAGGGAAAGTGGAAGGAGATTCTGTTTATTTACAAGTTGAAAGAGTACAGCTTTAAGACACCAGTCCCAATGAAATGTCTAGCTACACCGACAATTTCTTGCCAATCTTTACTTTTTTGAAGTCTAGGAATCTAAATAATGCTCCTTTCTGAATCTCCTCCTCTTGTTGATACCTAGATTAAAGATAATTACTTGTGGGTGCGCTACTTAGTATTTGTATTTGTATAATCGCTAATGCAGATTCCTTCCTTTCCTCTTCGTCTGATGTGGTTAGCAACAAATGATAATTGACGTCACAAGATAATATTTATGCATCATAGTATTCTGAATGACGGTAGAAATCCCCTGATATCTGTGAATCTTAAAACTCACGGTTGCATTTCACAGTCAGTGTTTATCTGTCACTCGTGTCTATATCAGGCAAATTGGTCGATACCATACCCCGAAAACATGGTCAATTGGATTATCTTGGTTTCCGCTTTAACACATTTATGTCTAAACATATTAGACGTGGACAGTTGATTGGTGTGCTCGTGGATTTAACATTGCTTAAATTTCTGGCTAGAACTTAGAACAACCTGGTAAAACTGAACATTCGAAACTGTTAATTCAAGCACCAACATGTGATTGTTGATGCATGCATTTAGTGGTTGCAAGGATCTTCTGTTGATCTTACTTCTCCTTGCTGGAATACTGTTAAATGGTGTAAAAAAAACCTGTGTGCAGGAACAAGTGACGGGATCTGGCAATTGTGGAGGTTCAATATAAATTATCCATTATTTGATAGTAATACAGTGGTATCTCTAGTCCTTAATCTATCACCAAATTCTTTGTTTGTCAATCGCAATAGGTATTCTTTATGCTTTGAATTTGAGGCTTTAACTGTAAATGTGTTCCTGGGTAAAATTTCAAAAATCACTGTTCTGTCGACATATGATTTTGAAATCTCTCTCTTTCATTTCTGGTGTCTCTTTTACCTGGTATTCTAGTTTGCAGTTAGCCAGCTAGCCTCCTTTTATCTGGACCAGGCATCTATTTGTTGCCAGTTGTTCTAAGCCTTCTGCTGTTGTACTCGCTGAACAGATGAACTACATGAGCTATATTCCTTTTAGGGCTTGCCGTAATCCATATTACATGATCAATTAGCAGTATTTATTTGCATGTAACTTTCATTTCAAATCCCTAATCTGTGGCAACTATCATGGCTTGTCTAATTAGTTCCTTTTGTCATGAAAATTAGTCTCGTATATGTTCTGGTATTTATCTCTCACCTTTATTTATTTAGTTCACTTGGTATGTACCAGGACCTGTGAGATTTGTCATTCGATTGCACGCAATGTTGTTTTAGCAATTGACATAGAATCAATCGAGCATTTGAATGAGACAAACAATGGCATGGATACCGCTACAACAGCAGTCTCAGCATCAATTCCCACTGCAGAAACTAGAAGCTTTTGGCAAGGCCACCGCTTCCTGAATTTCTTGCTTGCTTGTGTAGTATTTGCTTTTGTACTGTCATGGCTCTTTCACTTCAATGTGCCATCCTCGTAAACTTCTGTAGAAGAGGGTTGAGAGAATAGGAAAAGGAAATAACTTTAGAGGAAAGCCGAAGTAATCTAGAAGAGTTTGCAGAGATTGTTGTGTGATGAGTGAGGAAGACTTCAGTGCTTCATGTGGTTTTATAGGCAATCATAACATTTTCCTTTAATACGCGTAGGAGTTATGTTGATCTATATACTTACAATGATATTTTCCAGAGCTTTGACAGCCTTGAAAATTATTCGTAGGTGTCCTGATGCTGGGTCGATTCATAGCTCTGCCTTGAAAAATATTTATAGGTGTTTGGAGGTTGTTATTTTTATGGTCAAGTTTTTCTTTATAATGCCTCGTACTATGCTGTTATTTTTATGGTTAAGTTTTTCTTTTTAATGCCTCGTACTATGGAGATATAGTTATGTCCATGACAGACATTCCCAAATCCCATTTTGATTTTGTTAGGAAATTTTGATCAGATTTCCCGCTTACAGCATTTTGAAGATCCAGCAACCACGAAAATGTTTGTCTCTCTTATTTTAATTCAAGTCTTGGCCACAGTTATTCTTTTTATGTTCCCCCAAAATGGTCATGAATAGGGTTCAAGAATGATCGGATTCCAAGACTGACGTGTTAAATGGGCCTGCCTTGAGGAAAATCGCAGTGATGTGTTCCCGATGAATCTCGCATTGCACTAATCAACTATTGAACACATGATTAAAGAACTGAACTGCAGAAGCATAATTTATCCACTCAAACAAAAATAATTGAAGAATACTGTAATTTTGACACAAGGTCAAAATATGGATGTAGAAAATGAGAAGCAAGAATACATACATGAGCCTACACAAAATTATCAAAATAGTGAATAAAAAAAGACCTATACACTTCAGTTTTTGTTTCTTTTGGCTTCCAAGTTTGTGCCATCTTTGAGTGTTTCCTGTGCATCAGTCTCCATTCCAAGGCTGAAAAGGCAAGCTGCTTGAAGGTACGAGGCAGTGGACCACTCAGGAGACACCACTTGGGCTTGCATAGCATCACCTAGAGCTTCTTGTGGCATGTCACTCATTAAGTAAGATAAGCAACGCCTAGCATATACAGTTGGTGACACCATGGTTCCGCCATCGATGAACTGCAAAAGACAGAGGAAAACTTACTCTCCTTTCACAAGCCAACATAAAGTTCTATTGCCATCAGGATGCAGAGGATAAGCTCAAACCCATATTTTATAAGAAGAAGATTCAATGCTAACAATAAATCTGTGGAAGAGGCTCGATTTAGTGGTGCTATCCTGCTAGCAGCAAACTGTACAAGGTATTAAGAGCTTTGGCAAGAACAATTTATTTCCCTAACTTGATGTACGCACTATTAAAATTTTATCAAGGGATAAGATTTATCTCTTGTTCTTTGTTCATAAAATATAGTTCTTCATGTCTGTAAGCAATCCAATAGAAAATTTTCTTCTCTAACTATAGACAAAATGACACTAACTTATCAATGACGAATTATAACGGTGATATATAGTGTCAGTTTCTATGGGTAGTCTTATCTAATTTATAGCTACAGAATATGAACTAATTTATCGTGTTGGGTTGATTGTAACTATATAAGAAAATAAACCATCCCAAACCACAGATTTCAGATTCGACATAACAAGGGAAACTCACTTGAGTGTAGCAATCAATGGCAGTCGCAAAATCCTTTGCTCGAAAAGCAGTATCTCCATGCTTCTTAGAATTCAGGGTCTCTTGCATTTGATTAGTCCACATTTGGAAAGAAAGCTGCAAGGAAAGAGGAAGACAATTAAGAGCTAAGCAAACATTTAAAAAACAGGTTAATTCATGGGGCCAGAGCAACATAATAAGACTTCCTCCCCAAAGGGCCCTGGTATCTAGTTCCTAGGATGAAATTTTTAGATCCAGACACAAAATAAAAAAAGGTTTAAGAGCAGTAGACATGGTTTTTAATTGACAGGTAGACAAACTAACGTTTTTTTCATTTTTTGAGTATGGAAAAACTAACAGTTAGACCATGAGATAATAGGACTTTGTTCTGGCCTTAAAGGGCATAGTTATGACTATTACAAGGCAAAGTGGCATGACTCAAAACAAAAACAATTCATTTATCTATTTGTTTTATTTTTATTGCAATGAAATGCGGAAACTACTCAAATTTCCTTTTCCTTCAGCTCGCTCACTCTTGATATGCATGTGACACGGACTGCTAATGTTGCTATTTTATTGATTTGGGCGTCAATATGGTTACATTTTTAAGTAACAAAAATAAAACATCAATTACAAACAAGAGATGGCAAACCTCATTGGCAATCCCCTCATCGTCCTTGTATCCAATCTTTTCCAGTATTTCATGTATAGCAGTGAGATCTGTTCTCAAGCATGCCTCACCAAAAGGAGTCAATGACAATGGCTGAGTTGATGATGCAGTTTCTGGTCGGATGCCCATTAAAACATATGACGGGACCTGCTAAAACAATATTTGATAAGAAAAAAGGCGTATTTACAAACTTTTCAACCCAGCAGAAGCAGGCCTAATTTTAAGAAAACTATGCCTGCCTTTCTCCGAGAAGACATACAGCAAAGCCAACTATTTTATATACCTCTGTTTCTTTTTGAAGTGACATGAGTGCAGTGACAAGGGATTTAGCATTTGGCCTTTCACGAGCTTCATACTGCAAACAACGCGAAGCTAATCTAACCAACTCTGTTCCATCATCTTTTGAAAAATGGCCTTCTAGAGCAGAATCCATCAACATCAGGAAATTTTTGCCACGAATCAGGTCAAGTGCCTAAAAAGAAGACAGGCAGTGGAGGAAATCCTCAAGTTTTTTATGCTTAAATGACCATCAATCACAATGCGAATAACAATAGTTCATCTGTACTACAAGGGACCAAGACACCAATAAGATGGGTTATTACAGCATAAGAAAAGCAAATAACTTACATGACTTGGAGGAATATGTTTGCCACTCAGAAGATCCAACAACAAGGTTCCAAAGCTGTAAACTACACTTTCAGGTGTCACTCTACCTGCCAGGATAACGGAACAATTTTTATCATCAACCATTTCTAATAATTTAATCATTTTCAACCTTTTCCCTAGCCCTTGGTACCCAAAACTAATCAGATTGAGAGGTAACTGGTCCATTTATGTACGCAAAGGTCATATCAGTTTATAGTGATCATGAGTTCAGATGCAGACACGAACAGTCTTTACCAGTTCTCAGGTACTCTGGCGGGGTGAAAGCCAAATTTGTACTGTAACTTTTGCCATCACGACTATTCTTCATGAGGCCAAAGCAAGATAGCCTAGGATTACCATCCTGTCAACAGCTGGACCAAAATTAGGACCGACACAATGCAGTGGATGAACCAAGCACAGAGAAGATTCTACATCGCAGACAACCACACTTACCGTATCAAATAAGATCCTGTAGGCATTGAGATCATGATACAACGCCCTTCCTCTGCTCCCACAGTATTCCAGAGCTTGCGCCAAGTACAGAGCTACCCTCAACCTCATTGCCCATTTCATGGGCTGGCTCTCCCCTGTAATGACCCAATTATCAAGAATTCAAACAAAGAATACGAGGACGAAACCAGTTAAAGTTCATCAACTCTAACCCTAAATACCATTATATTCCCTGATCAAATCTGATCAACTAATTTTCAATGTTGGGAATTTTTGGCTAACATCAGGAAAAGGCAAAAAGGGTCTCCTAGCAATAAACAAACAATAAGAGATGAAAGGAAAGAATTTCAACAGCCAAAACAAATACATTAAAATTCAAAAGAAAAGAAGTGCTCACAGTGAAAAAGATGCTTAGCAAGGGTTTCATGATGCATGAACTCAGCAACTAGCAGCCTCTCCTCTCCTTCACAGCAACATCCTATCAAATTCGCCAATCTCTCACTCCTTAAACTCCCCACTGTTCTCGCTTCCTCCTAAATTACATTTTTACCAAATCCATTTTCAACTTAAGAGTATATTAATGACTTCTCACAATTTCAACAAAACATAAAGAAATCATTTAAAAAAAAAATGTTAAAATGAACGTACGAGGAATTGGCGAGAATCAGGCCAGGCGAGTCGGTTAAATCGTTTAACAGCGATCCAACGGTCATTGTCTAGTTTCCCTTTGTAAACAACGTTCGGAGCTTTTTCACCATGTTCCGATACTATGTTGTCCGAAGAGAACCCAGACGTGGCTGCTTTCAGCTGTTCGAAACTGAACTCGGTGAAACTCGGGAATGCATTTCTGTCACTTTTGCCCCCGTTTTCTGCACCGAATGACAATATTACCCCAACCATTACCCCCCATTTACAAAAAAAATAAAAAACACAGACGGAGAAGAGACGGGGCTTGAATTACCGAGATCGGAGGATTCGAGGACTGAAGCCTTAAGGTGAGACTGGAACCAGCAGAGAGAGAATTTCGAGCAGCGGGCTCCCATTGATTAGAGCGAGGGGAACAAAAAAGAAATGAAAATGATCAGACGGTGACGAGAGAAAGTGAATCAAACGGTTTGCATCACTTCTGGTGCTGATCCTTGTCTACAAGTTACTGGAAGTGGTCGAATGCTACTTCACAGAAGGGGGAGAAAGCGGGTTGTTGAGGATCCCAAGTTTTTATTGAAGCCAGCAAGCTTTAGGCTTTAGCTACTTGTGTTGTGTGTATTTTGGGCAATAAATTGCTAAGGGCCTTTCAGGTTTCAGCTTCTGCCTTTTTCAGCAACCTCTGTCTCCCCATTCCTCGCTCTCTCTCGTTTTCAAATTTTCTGTTTTTTTGTGGTAAAAACTTTGGACGGTGTTTGAAGGGGTGTTTTGGGTTTTTGTGCTTTAATTAATTAATTAATAAAAAATTAAAAAATATAGTAAAGGTTATTTTTTAAAATATTTTTAATTTATAAATTTATCAAAATAATATTTTTATGATTTTTAAAAAATATTCTAAATATCAACATATTAAACAAATAATCTAAAAAAATAAAAATGTAATAATTTTCTTCAAAACAAAATTAAAACACAAAAAAAACATGCTAGCCGTTATTTATTTCTATATGATTGCTCAAAGCTTAAAAACTAGCATTTTTCAGAGTAAAGTGTATTTTTGCCTTTATAGATTCAGCAATGTTCTACTTCTACTCCCACAATCTTCATTTCTCAATTTTGTCCTTCTAATTTTTGTAAAGTTATTTTTTCTTGTTTTTCTCTCTTTTTCCTCTCAAATACCCATATATGTTATGCTGTAGTTTCTCAACTTAAAGATTTAAAGAAAATGAGAGAACCTGAAAACCAAAT